ATTATTATTTAAATTTAATAAAGTCAAAGTTAACAATTGTAGTCTTTCAAAACATTATTTAAATTATCTCAAGACAAACAAATTAGATAAAAAAAAGGAATAATAACCTTCACTGATCAATTTGTCATCATATTCTCCATTTTTGTTCATTTTTTTCATTATCATCCAATATTCAATATTTGTAAAGATGGATTTATTATGAAAGAATTTCAATATGAAAAATAAAAAAATAAAATAGTATCTAAAATGATTATCAGCTATGTCCATTAACAAAGTAGTGGAGGTAACACTTTTTAATTGCAAAACGAAATAAAAATATGACATTTTTTATTGAAGACTTCGAACAACTATATTCATTAACAAGTAGTTAAAGTAACACTTCTTAATTGTAAAATGAAATAGAAATATAACATTTTTCATTGAAAGTTTCAAAGTAACCATTGAATTGAGGTTGAAAGTTGAGATAGAATTAATCTTATAAAATTATAACTTTAATTTTTTTTTTGAACATGATAACTTTAATTTTTTTAAAAATTGAAATGGATACAAATTAATATAATTAATATATATGTATATTATATAAAAAATTATAAAAAAGCTTATCCCTATATGTCGCTTCATTATGAAAACATAATCTTTGGCACTATTAATTCCAAAATTTCCTATCCAGTTATTGATGCCATCTGGCATGAGAAGTAACATAAATTCAATTTAAATTCAAATGGAGCAAATCCTGATTTTTCTGGAAAGTATAATCCCCTTAGAATCTCAATTCCATCCAATCACCGAAAAATCCAATTCAAGCAATCCCATTGATAAACGCAAGCCCCTGCCGGAAAAGAGTTGTCGCCATCGTCGGCCACCCCTTAGCCACCATTGACAAAACAATTCCCAATTCCTCCCGAAGTCAACCAAACCCCTTCCTCTTCACCCATCGTTGACAGGGCAAGATAGCCATGCCGCCTCACCATCCAAAGCAAAACTGATTGGTAAGCTAAGATACACCACTCTTTTTCCTCGATCCCCACCGCTTCCACCATCAGATCGAAATCTTCCATGGCCAGAAACCCGGTCACCGCCATCATCATCCCTCTGTGTATGTTTCCCTTCTCACCGCCAAGACTCAATGAATCTGCGGGAAAGCTGCCTAAAGCAAACGAAACCCCAAAATCCGAGCAAAACCAAAATCCTCCTCGCACAAAAAACCTGCTATCAAGGAGAGGTTTGAGTGGCCGACGACGAGAAGGTGAGAGAGTATCGGCAGAGTCAATGATGGGCGAACGATGAAGGCCTCATCACCGTCGATGAGAAGAGAGTGTGCAGAGGAAATTCATTTCAAAATTGAAATTCATGGGTTTGAGAATGAATTTGAAATACACGGTTTTAAACCTTTGGAATACTTTGTTGAAATGCATGTATTTCACTCAAATCCAATTACTCTCTGTTTAAGTAAAAACAAACAATGAAATTGAATTTTGACCTTCCAAATTCAAATACATTATTTCAAATTCGTGTTACCAAACAGACCATAAATGAATTTATAAAATCTCCAATTAAACTCTAGTTTACAAGATCATGATCTATATCTAAAATCTGTATCAAATTACAGGTGGCTAACCTTCTAACTCGTCACTCCCCTCGTTTTCCCGTCCTCGGTTTCGCTTCCTGAAATGGTGGATAAGGAAAACTATGAGATAACTCAGCAAGTAAATATGGATAGCCCTTGGGTAAAACTTTTAGCATGCCTGATAAACAGCTTAACATAACAAAACATTCAATGATAAACCGTTAATGCAGAATCAAATTCAATTCAGTTGCAAAACATTCAATGACAAACCGTCAATGCAAAATCAGATTCAGTTCAATAACAAATCGTTCAATAACAAACCGTTCATGCAGAATAAAACTCATCAGTAGTCTCATCTATAAGTCATGGCTAGCGTTTATAAACCTCCCACTGACGGGCATAGTAGTTACCAATGTTTAACCCCATTGGTTGGGTTACAAAAGTACCAGTGTTTAACAAACTCCCACTGGCAGGCGTCAGTAATGGTACCAATGTTTACAACTCCCACTGGCAGGTGTCAGTAATTACCAATGTATTCGCCCATTGGCAGGCGTCAGTAGTACCAGTGTTTACAACTCCCACTGGCAGGCGACAGTAATTACCAATGTATTATCCCATTGGCAGGATGAACCGGTTCTACAAAAATACATGTCGACATGTGCTAGCGTTTATAAACCTCTCACTAGCGGGCACAGTAAACATGACCATATCAGAGACAAAACCATGCAGGATTTACAGAAAAACCCGAATTTCACAATCAATCTCGAATTTCATAACAAACCAAAAAATTTCCATGTGGGCATGGATTTAACAGAAAACTCAAGATTTACAAAATTCTCAATTCATCCAAGCAGTTCAGTCAATTTCCAAATAGGCATGCTCAACTCCAGAAAAACAATGAAATTCTCATTTTCATTTCAATTATGCTCAATTCCATAAAATCAATAAAATCCTCATTTTCATTCCAATCATGCTCAATTCCAGAAAAACAATGATTTTCATAAAAATCATCACAATTTTCATTTCAGTTTAATCACACTCAGATACTAATAAAATCAATTTAAACCTTGCCACCATCTCAAAAACAATTGAAAACATGCTTTAAAATCGAAAGGCTTTACCATAATTTACTTACCTCACTCGCACAAAACAGAAGGCTTAACCCAAGTGCTACGGTGACAGAACGATCAAAACATAATCACAATATTCCACAATTAATACCGTGGTACCACAAATTCAAAGTAAAATCATCATTAGCACTACCCCTAATCAAAGTGCTATTTCTATCGATCTCCACATAACCGGACATCCCTAAATTCATTCTTATATTACAAACTAAGCATTTAAATCCCCGTTAATTGTTAACCTCGGTGTGTGAACAGTACCTGTGAACAGTACCCGTGAACAGTGCTTACGCTGTGAACAGTACTGCAACTTCCAAAAATTTGCAAAACCATAGCTACTCTCACGGGATTTTCACACAAAATATCACAGCAATCAATTAACACTCAATCACATAAATCCCACTTGAATTAAGCTAAATCATGGTCCTAAAGCTACCGGAATTCCTCCCCCATTTTAGCAAAATTCGGCAAGCACAGGGCAGCACTTAATGGACAAAACCCAACAATTAAATGGGTAAATTTAACTTGAAAAGCCGGCAACTTACCAGAATTCCAGCCAGCAGAACCCGAGCTTGGCTGGTGAGGAAGCCGACGGGATCCATGGGGGGAAACTCATGGCAAACTCCAGAAATTCAAGAACCAATAACAAAATTAGAGTAACCCAAGCCAATTAAAGCTGGAAAAGGGAGATTCATGGTTGATTTTTTACCAGGAAAAACCGAGACTCACACCCACAAGCAAAAGCAGCCGGCGGACAGGGGAGAAGAGCAGAGCAGAGCAGAACCGGGATTTTCTGGGTTGAGAGGGAAGATTCTAAGCCCCAAATCTTGTGATTTAACAAGAAAAGAAGAGAAATTTCATCAAGATCTCACATGGTTTTCAAGGGGGAGAGAGTCGGTGGCTTGGGGGCTTCGGTCGGCAGAGGAGAAGAAAAAAGAGCAGAACCCGTAAGTGGCTGGAAGAAGAAAGAAAGAAAAAGAAAAAAAAGGAAGAAAAGAAAAATCAGTCAATCCTTATCCTATTTCCTTTCTTTTTAGGTCCCTCAACTTTTGAAAATTTTGCGATTAAACCCAAAATAATATTTTTCCTCAAATAAGTCCCCTAACTTAATTGATAAAATCCCCAAAAATTTGGGATATTACAGATGCACTGGTAAGCAATTATTTTGAAGCTAAAACACCATGATTTTGTATTTTTTAAATTATTTCCTGTCTTCATTATTTAATTTTTGTTTGATAAGGTTATAAGTTTTATCTAGTTTATTGCTTTTGTACATCTGTATTTTGTGAATTATAATATGATTCTATGAGATTGAAAAAGATGAGGGATAGATGGGAGGGATAGTTTCTAATTAATGCTTTAATAAGCTGTACAATCTCACGCTAATGTGAAAGTGAACTATGTGATGGTTTCTAGTTCTATCAAATGAAACTCTCCTTCTTCATGCAAGCAGTGTTGCAAAACACAGTAGGCAGACTAGCACCCAGTGTCCAGGAGCACCCAGGTGCAGCTAGATGCTTCTGGATGTTTTGCCTTTAAATTATTTTTTTTAAATGTCAGAAAAGTCATTAAAAAATGGGAGAAAAATCAAAAATTGAAAAAAGTTGAAAATTTAAGGGCTACACAGCATGTTTGTGAAACTTAAAGGACTAAACTGCCAAAAATAACATCGAAACGTAGCTAATCATTTAACTTGGCTTAATTCAATGATTAGTCTATTAACTATCATTCTATTTCATTTTAGTCTAGAAAGTTAGTTTTTTTTCTAAATGGTTTATAAACTTTGTAAAATATTTTAGAATAGTTTACTGTATAAAACTTCCATTTATTTTAACAAAAAAAGAATAATTAAATCAAAATTAAAACAGAATAGTCTCAACTAATAAAGCAGTTTATAACAGACTGTGTAAGCTATTAAAGCATGTCAATAATTGTGATTTCTATTAGAAGAATTTTCAAAAAAGAAAGTTGAAGTAGCATGTGATAAAGGTTACCATCTATCAAACAATGAAAAAGAACTTATTATCCTCACAAAGTTGGTTTTATTTTAAAATTAATTTTAAGGAGTAAAAATTCACAAAAAAAAGTTAAAAATTAATTTGACCAAATGAAGTAAAATTACTACTAGAAAGTTAACAAATAGATTCAACTGAAATAAAAGTAAAAAATAGTTTTGGATCTGAAAGTATCTAAAAAAATAGATAAAACAAATAAGAAAAAAAGTTACTAGACTATTTATTAAATTAAGCCCATTTCACTCGGCACAACCTTCTTTGACCTTTGGGAATTGGATCGGGTCTGGTTTGCAGGTCAGATTTGGGCCACAGCGCGTGAGGTTCTGCCACCTTTCTGACTAGAACTCCGGCTGAGTAGCTCACCGGGGCCCTCTGAGAAAGTTTCTGATGTTGCGTCTTGGATTATGGCACAATTTTGTTGCAGATCACTGTTCACCTGGGCAGTCCTAGGGATGAGGTGGTCTTTTGAGATGTGACAGCTTAGCTACTTATGATTCTAAATACTTATCAAGTTTGTGCAAGCGAACAAGTTTGTAATCTAAATGATGGAGTTATGTACAGTACTGATGTAGGGAAGTTGTGAAGTTGTTTACAGAATAAGATTCTCAGCTTTTGTATTCTTTGGCCATAATTTTTTGTGTTCTGAATGTATATTTCCCATCAATTTTGCTTCCGTATATGATTTAGCTGAGTTTTGGGTTGTTTGTTCAGGGTCACAAGAGTTTTGTCCCAAATATGATCAGTGGAGCAGCTCAAGCAGATATTGCTGTTCTGGTGAGTTAGGCACCACTTCACTGCATTTGTTTTGCACAAGTCCCATTTTTTGAAATTTTAATTCATTCTCCTTCTCTGTCTTGTTCTCTATCTGACTGTCATAATTAGGTTATTTCTGCCCGTAAAGGGGAATCCAAAACTGGATATGAGAGGGGTGAGCAAACCCGTGAACATGTTCAGCTTGCAAAAACTTTGGGCTTATCTAAGCTGTTTGTGATTGTGAACAAAATGGATAATCCCACTGTTAACTGGTTAAGAGAAAGGTTCTGTTCCTGAATTAAGTTAAGTTTATGCTTATATATGCTGTTTTATTTCTGTGTTCCTATTCTCCCTCAGATTTGATGAAATTGAATCTAAGATGGTACCTTTTCTGAGGTCTTCAGGCTACAATGTGAAAAAAGGTAATTGATATATTGCTTCTCGAATATCTCTTATATATAAGGAAAATGGTGATTGATTGAATTAAAATTGTGGGTTATTTGTATCTTTTCAATGAAAGCAACATGAAAACAAGACTGGACAAGAGCATATGCCCCTAATGGAATGGCCCTGCCTCTTTGAAGTTCTTGATGCAGTTGAAATTCGTCCTAGAGATCCAAAAGGTCCTTTTAGGTATGATTTATTACTGTAGGAAATCATACAACTCTAGGAAGAAAGTATAATTGTATAACTATACCCTTTTTCCTTTTGTTATAGAAAAGGCTACATAGTGACTTATAAGGACTCTGACTATTTCTTGAGTCCCTATGACTTTGATTCCAAACATAAGATAACTAAGTAACTGGGTAGGATTCTTAGAAAATAGGACCTAAAAAATCTAACTCCTAAAGATCCTAGAATGACCAAAATGTACCCAAATTATATTTTAAAAAGAAAACCTAAATCATGAAACTGAAATTATATTAAGTCTGTCCTGAACATAGAAAAACTTAAGTATAATAAAATAGAACCCTAAATTGCTAAAATTAAAGTTACTCAATATAGATTCTGAATTATCAAGGCTGTATCAATCTTTGATTTCACATCTATTAACTGTATATTTCCTAAATATTCAGGATGCCTATAATTGACAAATTTAAAGACATGGGAACTGTCGTAATGGGAAAGGTTGAATCTGGTACCATGTGTGGGGGTGATTGCTTATTGGTCATGCCAAACAAGGTGCTTAGTTTTTCACCTAATTTCTTTATTTCTTTATTTATTGTTTAACTTTGATTCTGAAGTCCAAGATGCATGGATGGCAGGCTCAAGTGAAAGTTCTTGCCA